ACAGAACCACGACAAGCGCCAGCAGGTAGAGCAGTAGCAGACGACCAGCAAACAATGCACATAGAAGATGTTGAACAATCACCTCAAGCAGTAGATGACAATTTTTACGCGACACCAGTTCAACAAGCAACAGGAGCATCAAGTTCAACAGCCCAACAACCACCACCATTGCCAATGACGCCATTATTTAAAAAAACAATAGATAATACTATTAGTCCTGTTTACTGGAAAGAAAACCCTAATTTAACAGTAAATGATATTAAATTTCAATTTTATTTAAGAGGAATTCAAGTGCCAAAAGAAAGCGAAATACAAGAAGAATTGAAACACAAAGGCAGAGGCAAGGCGAGAACATACAAAGAATATTTAACAGATATGATTTTAGACACTATTGATAATGGCGGGTGGATAGTAAATTTAGGCAAAGGTAGAATAGAAGAACTCAAGGCAAGTTTTAAGGGCAAAGGTAAGAAATAATATATAAATAATAATAATAATGATAATATTAACTAAAAATATACTGAAAAGAAAGAAGCAGAAATTCAATGATAAATATGATGACGACAGTTTTACAATACATAACCTAATGAAACCAAACACACCAACAACAATACAGCCACCGAAACTGATGAAAAAGGGCATGCCGAGAGAATTTATTGACATTGCAACCAACACAGATACTATTGCTACAGCAACCAGAGAGACGCAAGAAAAGTTATACAATGATGCAAATCAACCATTAAATGTGACATTTGAAGCGTTTAAGGTAAAGGAAAACCAGGACAATATGTTTAAAATAATGCTTAAAAACTTTTGGCACAACACATACAAAAGGAATGAACCAACAAGAACACAAGCAACACAAACACTGAAAAACCAACGCGCTGCAATGGTGTCAGCCTTTACTAAAATGCTTGACAACAACAAACCGCCAGAACCACCGCCAAGGAAGAAACCACCAGACAAGGATGACAGCGATGAAGAAGAAAAGAAGTTCAATCTGACAAAAATGATAGAAATAATGCTACACAACGGCGCTACAATAGCAGATATCATATTAAACTTATCACACAGTGCAATTGCAACAACTATAAATATCGCAGATTTAGTCAATCAAATAACAGCAGGACATGCACAAAGTAGCGGTAGCAATTCATCAAATGAAGCTATTAGTGTTCATAGTTCTCCACCTATTACTGTTCATAGTTCTTCATCTGAAAGTCCAACAGAAATACCAGCACCAACTGAAGACGAAGAAGAAGAAGAAAACCAACATTTCAATTTTGAAAAATTAAAATCTAAATAATATTATATATAATGGGTTCAAGTAAATCAAAACCAGTAGAAATTGATGATGAAGAGGCTATTAAAGTAATAAAAGATATAGATGTAAATACGATAAGTGAAATGTCAAGAATTGATATTCTACAAATAAATTCATTGAAAGCAATAATCAATAAATTAGAAAAAGTTAATGAATGTAAAAAAGATAAAATATATTATAAATTACCTGCTTTGAATTTATGTAGTTATTCTTTATTTTAAATTAATATTATTAATTGCTTATACAACTTCTTTCACTTTTTGGCGTTGATGTTGAAACAGTGCTATTTGTTTCATCTACGATAAGATCCACCACATCTACATAGTTTCATTAGCATATTATTATATTATATGAAATTAGAATATCTTTATTCATCATTTGTAATTTGAAATGCCTGTTCAAAATTGATATGAAACATTTTGTTAATGTCTTTTGAATTCATATTCACGTAGAAAAAAGAATATGGAGCAAAATTAACGGCTTGATGGTACATATCTAATAATTGCTGTTTATCAACAATGGCGCTATTTTCTTCAATAAAACTCATTAATTCACTGGCATTTTTCAACCTAAAAATATATAGTGAACTGGCATTTAAACGAATGATAGGCGCCAAAACATTGAACAAATCACACTTACTGCATCGTGCCTGCCTCTTGTAAATAATCCATGTAATAATTTACTATATCTAACAAATTTAGGGTCATCTGCGTGGTCATCTATAACGATTAATATTGATTGTAGTTTCTTTATCTTTTTAGATTTCATATAGTTAATAATTTTCTTCTGTCTTTCGATTACATTTTCTAAATCACTTGGATTATAATTATCAAAATAAATTTGTTCTTTTTCATCATCCACGTGCAATTCGTCCCTGATGTATTTTTTAACTTCTGTAAATGTAGGGTCGTTATGGACACTGGGTAAAAATATAAATATTCTTGCAAATGAATTTCTATAAACATTCAATATTAGATTTTGAATAAGGACAGTCTTACCACCTGTCAAAGAAGCAACTATAATACTTCTAAATGGTAATTTTGGCACGTGCTCATATTTGGATTGCTTGAATTCATATTCAGTTATGTTTATTGGTTTTATTATTGGAACATCTGTCATATAGTTGATATTAAACATATTTAGAAAATAATTTAATATTATTTATTGTATGAAAGCATTGCTATGATATGAATGGTGTCTATCGTAGTAGAACAGGCTCTTTCATCAACTTCAATCAATAAGCATTGAAGCTAATTAGTTTGATGCGTTGTAAAGAAAACCCCAAGTGCTGTGCCCTCCGAATATTCTATCATGCATGAAAATAATAAGATTAAATAACTATTTTATCTTATTATTTATATGAATAGGAGTTATTCAGATTATATTAATATAATAGATGAAGTAGAGAATATAGAACACGTAATAATAACTGATAATAAAACTAAAAAATGCTGTGATTATTCATTAGAATTAATTAAGTTTGTGATACAATATATCAAAAATAAAAATGTAAATATGAATATAAATGGTGAAAAAGAAAAAGAAAAGCAAAAATAAGACAGGTTTAAATCTATCTTCAACTGATGAAGACAGTGAAGAAGTTATTAATAAAACAGCAGTTGTTGAGGTTGCTTGTCCTATGTGTAAAAAGATGTTAGAATTAAAAAACAAACTGGAAATACAAAGGAAGGGAAATTGTAAATGTAGTTGTGTGCCAGTTGGTTTTAAAGTAAGTAAAAATGATAAGAAAATGAATATTGATAAAACTAAAGACAGTATCAACTTAGAAACTGATGTCCATAATATAACTTTTAAATTTGGTAGGCAAGCAACACCATCCGATAATAATGAAAACGAAACACAGGAAACTGTTAAACAAATGATGAAAAATATATAATTAAATAAATAAATATCTAAATAAATATATAGTAATGTCTGAAAATGAAAATTATACTATTAATGATTTAATGAAGAAGATAACATTAATTGGTAAAAATATCAAAACTTAAATGATATGATTAAATCCATTGATGACAAAATGAAACCAGTTGAACGCGAACAACAAAGCAACGAAGAGAAGGAGAAAATCGAAAAGATATTTCAAGCAAAATCTATAGGAAGACCATCGGGCGACTACCCGACAAAGCAAAAGAAATACTGTGATATGTTGAATACAGGAAAAATCAAACAACCAAAGCAACAAACATTAGAGTTTTATAAAATTTCAAAAAATGATGATGGAGTATATGTATTATTTGAATAATTAATATCTAAGTAATTCTAATAATATGAATTTATTAGAATTATTTTCAGGCAGTGGTTCTGTTGGTAAAGTTGCTCGTGATTTAGGTTTTAATGTTATTTCATTAGACTTGAAAAATGCTGATATCAACAACAGTGTCACCATGTAATCCCTTGTCTCGCAGAATTTAAGATGACATGATGTCACATTAAAACCCTTCAACTGACAAAACCCTAATCCCCACCTAAATTAAGGATTTTTAGGCATATTTCTAGAGGGCACGGAATTTCAGATGACATGATGTCATGATGTCACTACAAATTCCTTGGGGTGACTTCATGTCATTTGAAAATCCTTGGGGTGACTTCATGTCATTTGAAAATCCTTGGGGGCAAAAACCCTAACATGACATGGACATAGCGTTTTATATATTGAAGATAGAATCCTACAAGGAGCATCACGCCTACATGTTTTTCATAATCATAGGCTTGGATTTACACTTAAAGAGAGAACACCTATAGATAATAAGGATGGAACTTGAAAGAAAGTATTGTAGCAAATGCATGTTCAATCAAAAAGCCGACAAGTTTGAAGAAGGGTTCAAGACTTGCAATATATGTAGAGCAAAAAGTAAAAGACACTACCACAACAACCCTGAAAAATACAGAGAATACAGAAGGGAAGATAGAAAGAACAATCCTGAAAAATACCAAGAAAGGCAAAGAGAATACATGAAGGAATACAAAACAAGAACGCATTACTGTCCATTATGTGATGTTGAAGTGCAACTAAAAAGCAAAGCAAGACACGAGAAAACAGCATGGCATCAAGGAAACCTGAGAAGAAGCGAGAACCCTGAGGAGAAACTGCCAGAACCTGATGAAATCAAAATCATAGATGGCAAAAAACATTTTAGGTGCTTGACATGTAGAGCCAGTTTTCTACCGTATCAATGGGAGAAACACATAATGGAGAAGCATAGGGAAACTTAGAGTGATTGATACAATAGTATGAACACTATTGTATCATTTACTGATTAGGAGTGATGATTTTGGTATTAACCACCCTAAATCCTACAAGGAGCACCACGCCTAAAAAAATATATGATGAAAGTGATGAAACGAAGGAGGGGAGTGATGTTGTTGCTGTTCTATTTTTTGTCCGAGAAATGGACAAATCGTACTTGGAAGGACTTCCTTTTCTTTCAATCTTCAAGTTGTAACTGGCCTCACTCCATGTACACGGATAGTACAAAATCACGTGCAAATTTGCTCAAACCAGAAAATAAGAAACTAAGACACAATCGTCCTGCCACATGCAAAGTAGGATAACTCGTGTTGTGTATTCAAAAACCAAAAACCAAAGGCTCCCACGGGGACAATAACAATGGCGCCTGTTGTGTTCTCAGGCTTTGGTGACTGGCAACCTAGGGACCTAGAGCAGACCACCTGCTCTTGCAAGCTTCGCAGGACTGGATATCACCAGGTTGGTTTCCTCGAGCCTGCGAAGCGCTCTCGAGGAACGAGGGTTGACATGCCAATTGTTGCGCCTTTTTTTTAATACGAGGGTTGAAAGTTGCCGTTTTTTTGCGCCGTACATAGCCCAGCGTCGCTAGTACACAGCACCCAGGGCTTATCTTCATACGACAATGCCAACTAGAATGCATCTCTTGTACAACAGGCATACCGCTCGCCGGCATGTCCTCTAGTTGTCTGCTTTTACTAAGGCACTCCGCAATTCTGCTTCAGCAGATTCCCCTTCGCCTTTCAAAAGCACAAGGGGCCTTGCCTACTTACTCGCTCCCTCCAGGTCTGTGCGCATCCTAGCAGAAATTGTGCCACCCCACCCTCGCAACCCCCCCACCTGTCCCAACCCCCCTCCCACCCCTCCTAACCCCCCTCCAGCCCTCTCCACTCCCCCGGACATGGGAGCGCCACCCACCCCTCCCCCCCCCGCCCTCTCCAACATGGAGGCGCCACCACCCAGCCCCTCCCTCCCCGCCAGCCCCTCCCCGCCAGCCCCTCCTTCCCAGACCCGGCCTGGAGCCAGGCCTCCTGCGCCGCCAGGCCCTGCTGACTCTGCAGCGCCGCCTCGTGCAGCAGCTCCTCCGCCAGCGGCGCCAGCAGCCGCTCCCTGTAACTTCCCAACTTCCCCCGCGTCACGCACGGCCCGCGGCGGCTTTTCCCGGACCGAAAAACCCGGAAAGCGGGAACGCCCGAGGGGAAAAAACACGAAACGAAACGAAGCGGACGAAACCACCCGGGAAAGAGAACGGATCCAACAAACATGGAGCGGAACGGATCATATAGCCAACAAAAGCCCCTCTGCTCTGAGAGATAGGCCAAACATTGCGGGAGAACTTGGGGCAAGCACGCGAGCTGCAAAGTCAAGTCTCCGCCCGCCTCACTGCGGGCATCGCCTTGGCCTTGCTGCCCGCAGTATCCAGCAGCTCCTTCAGCGTGTGCAGGACGGCCAGGCACAGCGACCAGCTCAGGGAACCATGCCTATGGGTGCGAGCAACCAACTTGGAGAATCGAACATCCAGAGAGCGATGAGAGGGGTGGAAAGGGTAGAGGAATCTTAGGGTATGCTTCTTCTTGGTGTGGGGTGCCGAAAAAAAATCGAAGCGCCCCATGGTACCACCTCCAAACAAGAAGAAAAGCCCAAGGCCTCTGCTACAACAAGAGCAAACACAAATGTTGCCGGAAAACGGATGCATCATCTACTCTCGAACGTTGTTTGAAAACGCAAGAGTCATGGTTACTGCAGCCAAATGCAATCCTTCTCTGCAAATGCTGGGATGTGCACTTGCATTAGATTCGAAACCTCCTGGCAACCTGGGCAATGGAAATAAACAATCAAAGCAGCGAAGAGTAGCCACAAAGCACGCTGCACGCTAGTTTGCACAATCATATTCTTGAGTGTAGAAGGGTGAGCACCCCAAGGGAAAAGGCAAGAAAAGGGGCTCGGCACGCACAACACGAGCTATTCATGTTCAAGCACCTCAAAACGAAATGCCAAGCCAATCACAGCGCAGCATGCTCGCTGCCGCAACTGCAAGAACCTGCCACATGAAAATGAACGAGATGCGGTTTACCATCCCGCTGGCCAACCTGTTTTTCTCTCGATCCTACCCTCCCGCTGCACCTTGCACCAGTTGTTTCTCTCTGATCGGTCTCGGATCAGTGTTGTTGAGAGCTCAGCGTGCTGCTCATTCCATCACATGGCTTGTCCGTCTGCCTGTGTACATCGCCATACCAGAGTTCTTCGAAATGCCAAGACTACCAGGCATTCCACGGCTTCTGACCAACAAAACACCCACCCCAAAGTCCAAACCCAAGTCTTGCCAACCTTACATCAAGTCATACCACTTACCACCAAGTCATACCAACCCATACCACTCAACTCCCCTTGCCATCCAAATCCCCACTCCGGAAACCCCCCCGGCCCCTTCTGCGCTTCTGCGCTTCCGCCTGGCCAGACAGCTGCAGAGGCAACTGCCCAAGCGCTCCGCCACACTGCCGTCCAGAGACTCCCCCGCCGAGCGCAGCGCCTGGGAGACGACGAAGTAGACTTCCCCAGGAACCCATTCCCCTGTTGGCGGAATCACAAACAAACAAACAAACAAACAAACAAACAAGCAAACCGACGTAAATTTAAACCCAAACCCAAAACCCAAACCAAAACTAGAACAAACAAAGACACATGGCGCTGCAGGTGTCCTTCCACACCCAAGTGCGCCACAAAATCCCCTGAAACCACCGCCCCATGCCATCGCCTGCATGAGTCTCTCCACCGCCTTCAGCGCGTAAATCGCCACCTGCACGTGCCCGGAGAGGCACAGCTCGCCTCGGCTCGCGCGGCACGCGACTTGTGGCGCGCGGCATGCAGCGCGATGCGCGTGCCAAACGCCGAGGTTGAGCGACGCCAAAAAGGATACACTCATTGCCCAACCACCTGGAGCCTCACCGTGATACAAGAACAACTGAAAAGTATATAGTATTCGACTGGACCCCAACTCCCAAAACTATTCGAATAAACTGGACAACTCAGTCGAAACGTCTGCTTAGGCAAAGTGGTGGGTGGGCCCAGGTTTTTCTTCATTCATCAGAGGTGGATGAAAAACCCATTTGAGAGGCTACTGAGCCTTTTTTCCCGGGTACCCTCAACAAAACCAACTCCACATCCCCCCCACCCTCCCCAACCCCCACCCCCCCTGTCACCCCCACCCCCCCACCCATCCCAAAACCCCACCCCCCCCAGCCCGCGCAAGAGGCACGGAGCCGCTCCTCCAGGGCCTCCAGCAGCTGGTTCCGCAGCAGGGGCTTCACCCGCGCGTCCAGGTTGGTGATCTCGGCCAAGGCTTCGGATTGAAAAACGAGAAGCGAACCGAAAAACCCGGGGGGGGGGGGGGGGATTTGGGTGAGGGGGGGATTTGGGTGAGGGGGGGATTTGGGTGAGGGGGGGCTTTGGGTGAACCGGTGACTTCCGTGTGACTAAAAGGGGGGGGGGGGCGGAACGGGGGCGGAGGGGGGTGACTTCCAGGCGATCGTGTCACCTTGTTCCCCTTTTTTGGCTCAAGGTTCCTATCAAGGATGGGGGGGAGGCGTTTTGAGTGATTTGAGGGGGTGAAGTCTCCTGAAGAATTCCCCGCCCAACGTGGACGAAAAGGTGCTCGTGCGGCATTTTGTAAATATCCGTCAAGAAATCCGTTGAGTTTCGGCCCACCTGTCTTTTGGGAAGGAGAAGAGCACGACAAAGGTCAAAGGTTGGTGGTTGGAAAAATGGGATTCGATATCCGCTGTGTCCCCCATTTCCTATTGCCATTTCAGTCAGGCTGACAATAGATATTGGTTTCAAAACGCCCGAGCCTCGACGTTGCACGGTTCTCGGGTTTAAATGAGCGGCCTGCACGGTGTTCACCCCGTGTTTCGCCTTTTGCCAAATGAGAAGACATCAACAGAGCAACGAAAAATCGCACTTGTCTTTGTACGATCTTCCTTCACGCTTCTGCCCATCTGGTTGAAGTGGCCAACCTGTTGGCCCCATCTGTTCCTGGAAGCCCATCACTGGAGGACTGGCCCCTCGGCCAATCCTGCCACCACTTGCCGAAACCCGCCCTGCAGCACAGCTGCAAAGGGGATGGGCACCGACTCGTACAAGGCCTCTGAGGTGTCCACTTCCTCATGGCCCAGCCGGAGAGCCGATTTCTCCCTTTCTCCCCTTGCCGTGTGAAGCATTGGTACTTGGGTGTGGCTGAAAAATAGGGGATGCCCCCAAAATGGAAGCCTGTTAATGTCGACTCCGAATTTTTAAACCCCCTGCGGGGGCTCCCTCCCAAAGTGGTCTGAATCCCAACTCAAACAAGGGAGCGCCACAGAGTTCACAGGGCCACTCAAGATCGGAGGGACAAATTTGCTCTCCGAGGTGCAAATAGGCTCGACTGCCCCGTGCCACCCCAGGACTTCTGCATCACCTCAGGTGGAATATGAGCAGCCCCTATCAAAGGCATGCTGTCTGCTCAAAAGTCCGACGATTTGGCCGATCAAATTTCATTCTCAATGCCCCACGTAAACCCTGGGCAGGCCTTGGATTCCTTAAGTCATGGCCTAGTGCTTTCCAGAGGCAAATTCTTGCCAGGGAGAACAGTCATGTCCCCACAAATACTTAGGATGTTTGAGGGTACTCACCGTGTCACCCGGCCCCAATCCTGCAGCAGGGGCCTTTGTACGGCAGAAGGGAGAACTGAGCTTGACCTTTCCGCCGCTCCAGCTCGAGCGCAGTACGCCAAGCGCACCTCCAGCAAGAAAGTTGCAGCCCCTCCAGGGCCAGCAAGATGGGCGGGTCGCTGCACCCGATGTCATGAACTGTGTATCGGCCATACAACGAGGTATGCAACCAGGTATACCAATTTGTCTGGCCTCACCTGGCTACCCGTTCCAGCTTTGCCAAAGTAAGCAGCAAAAACCTGTGGTCCCATGTTTGGAATTGTGTTCATATGAAAACCGTTGCTCCTGTCCCGGAATTGTTTCCCAAATGCTTCAAAATGGACTCCCACCATCAACTCCATAAGAGCCCAGCGGCATAGTACCCCATGGGCGTGCGCGGCGGCGACATCGTCACCAGCCTCAAGTGGTCGTTCCTTCCATGTCTTGGAATTCTTGGCCATGTGGACGGACGAAATCCGTCCGCGCGAAAGGAAACCATGGTCGAAACCAAAACCCTTCTTGGTACTTACACCAGATCAACCTTCCAGGGTGTCTGAACGGTGCGAAATGGATATCGCAACCATCCACAGTAGGGTGCATACAGCTGCTCCACAGCTTGAATTGGCTCTTCTGGCGGGAGCTTTGCAACGAACCCGCAAAGGGACAACCGGTCCTTGGAAGGTCCAATGATCAACAGCTATGTGACTGCTGCTTCTACGCCCAGCTCATCCCCAAGCATGAGGCTGAACATGGGTAAATCCGCATGTGGGTGCCAAATACGGCCGGGAGGCTGGAACACTTCCTCTGGAAGGAAAGGCCTCAGCAGCGACGTCGCCAGCACCGTCAGCACATGGTGACTCCTTGCATCTGCAATGAATCAACCTCTCCCACTCTCAGGCAAGACCTGCTCCAACCAACAGCTGACCCGCAAGGCGTGCAAGGCGCCAGACCTGTACATGTTGCGTGGGAGCAGGACCTATCGGATCTTGCTCTCCCTTTCCAAAGGCCTCCATGGGAACTTTTCTCCGTCACAGAGTTCTATTCCTCCAAGCCCCGCCCAGCCAACGAATTCCCCGCCCAGTCTGCTCCTCAGCGTAGCCATGAGGTCGTTGAGGAGATACCAGGCAGTCTCCTTCCGTGCGCCCGGTCTTGTTTCCCACGGTGATCCGCTACGTGGGTTGCACCTATGAATCAACCGGCGCACGATTGAGGATTCCAATTATTAGGGCAACCAACAATCATTAGAGGTCACCTATGGTACCATTTGTGGGGTTGTTTCAAAAGAGGCCAACTCAGCTCCGTCAAAATCACAAGAGGTTCTGCTTCATCAGCTGATTCCACTGTTCCAGAAGTCACCGATCCCCTTCATCAACCAGTGTGCCGTTGTCCCCTTTTTGGCTTGCTTTCCATGTTCGGTTCATTCGAAGATCCCATCTGGCTTTCTACCCTTTCCAAGTCAGCTTTCACATCTAACCAAAAAAACGGCAAACCCACCAAACCGTGATTTCAAGCTGTTGGGTTTGGAAGCCTTTCGGGCCTTGGCGTTTTGCTTGGGGTTTTGATTGGTCTCGAGTCCTGGCCTGGGTCAGCAGGGGCTTGGGCTGCACCTGCAGCGCAGAGCCCAGCAGCACCGGCAGCACCGCGAAGCGCAGCAGCCGCTCCTGCGAGGAACGGACTCCAGTCACACGCAAAACCGGTCGGCACTAAATGGTGGCAATCCCAGAACCATGTAATTACTGTAAAGAAGTCACACTCATTTTATTTCCAGAACCATTTAAAGAATTAACACAGAAATATCCGCAACCATTTGTGGCAAGGGGATTGTCCCTCCACGGGATCTTTGTGTCCGGGTTCGTTCGGTTGGCGCGTGGATCAAGCAACTGGGCAGGTCGTCAATGGCCTTGTATGCTTAGAAGGCCCCATTGGGGCCTCTCTCGGGCTCCTCCCCTTGCCGCAGAGGCCCAGGAATGAACGTATTCCAGTCCGTGTGGCCAGTGACATATGGGTTCTGCAGCTTTATTCAGTTGGAGACAAGCCCGTTGGACCTAGTCCGAGTCAATCAACCGACTGCTAAGACTATTATATATTTTGTATGGTACAACAATGACTGCATTGTTGTTGGCCAAATCTCTGGTCTTCTGCTTAGAAACGACCCTACGGCAACAACTTAGGATGCCACGCACCGAGCCGGCCTAGGCGTGGCACCAACGAGCTTTCAAGCTTAAGACTTCTTTCCATTGCGTGCCGCACAAAAGCAGCTGTGCTGGTCTGATAAGTTTGAACAGGCAGATCTGCTGCAAAGCAATTTAACAGGGTTCCACAGTCCTTGTTGCATTGCTGCATCTTCCTCATCAGTTTGCTCCCTGTTCTTCGTCGGATTATTCGCTAAATTCCTTCCCATTCCTTGCTGGCAAATGCCCTTATTCCTTCCGGAACGCTCGCCGCTTGCTGCGAGCGTAATTGGCAAGCTTGGTCGCTCATCGGCCCTGACCGCGCCTGAAGCACAGCACTCACTTGCATCACTTCCTGAGCGGCATCACATGAGAGAGGCTGCTCACGCAATCCCACCAAAGTGAAAATCAAAGGATTCCAAGCCAAGAAGATCGTATGTGAAGTGGTGGTCAAACAAGGACAACTTCCTGAGGGCAGGTTTCTCACGAAGGGATGGGCTCCCCCAGCTGCGGTGACTCTGAAAGCATACTGGCCCAAGAAGTCTCTGAAACAAGCCCAAGCGCGCATAGGAAGACGTCGTTGAGATACATGAGGATGTCATTCCTCAGCCGGGGGTTTGCTTGTCTGATACAAGAGTCAAGTCTCGCGGAGCAAGACATTGCACCCTTCCTTTGCGGCCTGAACCTCTGACGCATGCCCGGCCTGCAAAAAGCTGGGCTGGGGCCTTGAGTTTCAAGGCGCCAACATCAAACCAACACCTTGAAGGGTGTCTCTCTTTTCTGGGCTGCCCCGCTAAAAGTTTAACTTTTAGTGGGTCAAATGGAAACTACCACTACACACTAAAAGGCTAAAAAGCTAAGGGATGCCACCAAGTTTTGAGGGCACCAATACCCATGGTCGCTTCCCAGAACGTCAGCCCGTCAGCCCGTTCGCCGAAGCCGCTGGAGATCCACGGCGCTCTTCGTGTCGCGATAGACCGCGGACCTGTTGGCCTTATCAGCCAGGCCTCGCGCGCGCGGGGGAGGGCCAAAGGGAAGCCACCCGTCTGAGTCAGCCGCTTCTTTCACCGAAACCAAGACTTCACGTGCCCCAACCATTTTGGATTTCGTCGAGGCGCCCCAGAAGTCCCGCAGCAGGCAGCAGACGTGGGTGAAGAGCACCTCGCAAGACGTATCTTGAAAACTGCGAGCTTCGGGTTCGGAACGCGGTGGGTCTGGTAACACATGGGTGTGGTGCTCAAAAACTCCTTGGTAGACCCAAAATGGGTTGCCCTTAGATGGAAAGACTAGAAACCTGCGGTCCGGCTTCCTGGTGGTTTCATGTTGACCCGTAGCCACATACCTACGGGGACGTTCGCCGCGCCTTGGAGTCGGCCACCACTACGAAGAAGAGCTGGGGGTCCGCGCACTTCCTGGGCTCAAAGGATGTGGGGGTTCCACCCGCGAAAGGCACATGAAAATGTTTGAAAGCCCGGATCTCAGGGAAGAAAGGGAAAGCCTGCTACCCAGATTTTGAGACAAGGTCTTGTGTTCTTCCAAATCCGCCATGTTGCAGAGTGGCTCGCGCCCGACTTGCAGGGAATCAATCACACTGTCCCTTCAAGCTACTGGAAGGATTGCATGAAGCAGCAAGCCAACATGAGCTAACATCTTGAGCACCTTCAAAAGACACAAGCTGGCGATGTTTGACTGACAAAAAGACCAATGGTGACCTAGGTGGATTCACAATGAGAACCAAATCAAATGAGTTTTCCCTCCAATCGAAATCACAGCAATTGAGGTGCACGCCAGGTCTTGGTGTCAGTTCAAGTGAACTACAGGAAGCCTTCCCGAATGCACAAAGAAGGCAGCCCCCCATTCAAGACAATTCAAGACATGCACTGCTCAACTTAGTTCCTCTTCCACGTTTCTTTTCTTTGGGACTATGGTTGCAGGCTCCAATCAACCCCAGTGAAACCTCAATTGATCCAGGCGTTTCAGGAAATTCCAGTACCTCCCACTGCGATCACCCGGCCCCATCTTCCTCTTGCTCCTCTGCTAAAATCCTGAGCCGCCCTTACAAGAGAGGCTTGGAGCGCGGGGGGCCTGGGGTGTTCCAAGCGTCAGCTTCAGGAAGATCTCTAGGGAGGTCGCCTGCACATGGGTCCGCACCTGACGCACAGAGAAAGGGGACGCCTCGCTTCTCCGCGGGGAGCAGAATGGGACCCCAACTCAGTCACTTGAAATACTCCAACATCAACGAGAAAAATTGGATTTCTAGGCATTTCTAGTTGAATATCTGTAATAGAAGGGCTTCTAGTATGCTTGGTCGAAGGGTTCAATACCAAACCGATGATGAGTCACGGCATGTAGTCTTGAGGCCATGGATCGCAGTTGCGACAAGCGTGACAAAGACTATCCCATGCACCAGCCAAAGAAGCCAACGTCTGGTCCTCTGCTTATCAAGCTTTAGGCTTTCCAGTGGTTCTTTGCAGGGCCGGATGTCAGAAATGTGATGGAAACTGAAACGATGCCAGGCGCACGGCGATGCACGGAGTGGAGTGGAGTGAAGGGAGTGGATAGTGCCTTCCTCCGGCTTTAAAAGGGGCTCAAATCTGGGAGGGCGAAGCTAAGGCTAAGGCAAGGCTAAGGCAAGCTGAAGAAGTGAACATAAATATGTATATACACATACATCTATTTATGTACACTATACACTAGATACAATTTACTATATACTATATATATATATATTTTTTACTATATACTATATACTATGTACTATTTTCTACATGTATGTGGCCATAATGTAGACCCATACTCCAAATGATACTTTAGAGGCAATGTGAACTTGTTCATGTATGATATTTTGAGACACAGGAGTATATTCTGGAGTAGAATGGTGTACTTGTTTGTGCTGAGTTGACCCCTATCCACATACAGAGTTAGCTCTTTTTCGGGGACTATATGTGGATGGACCATTCTTCGGCACAAAGGGAAACCGAAATCCATTTTGGGGCGGTCCCTATTTTATTTAGGACACCCTTCTAAGCCTTAGAATGCTGCTCTGGTGCCAGATGTTTCAAAAGAGGGATTTGGACCCCCATTTATTTGGTTTCAGTTTGGTCCCAAAAAACGTACCTGGACCCTCAAGCCACCCTCAAAAAAGCCATGTTTTGTGTAGTTGGACCACGGCTTACGGAGGCCGTGGGTCGAAACGCAGTTTTTCACTTTTAGCAAGCCCGCCAGCACACTTCGCACACGCTCAAGTGCACCCGCGCAGCGCTGCACACACGTTGTCACATGATGTTGTCACACGCTGAGCATTGTGACATGATCTCAGCTGAACAAAAGTGCGGCGCGAAGTAGTTGGGGTCTGGGATAACATGTGTTTGCCACATTTCTGCTTGTAACGTGAGGCTCATGGGTTTGCACCCCTAGAAATGGCATGATTCGATGTTGTAAAATTGCTTCATTGGAAATCCCCCTAGCCGTGACTGCACGACTCATGGTTTCGGGGCCGACATTGCTTGAAAACCCCACGGCCTTCTATAAGCCGTGGACCTAGTTTAAGGCTCCAAGTTCCCACTTGGCTTCCCATTTTTTCAGGTCTAGATACCCTGAACCGCTTGCCAGCACCCCATTGCCGGTGTGAAACTCATGAAGCTGACTGAAGGCAAAAATCTTTGGCGTCAAGTTCAACTTGGGGATTGTCAGACACATCTTGCCTCAGACCGTTCCTGCGATGGGATGAAACATGGTGCCGCCCCGCACGGCGACGCTGGCGCCGGGCTTGAACTGGCACCAGACCTTTGGGTCTGGCCGCGGAGCGGCCTCGTCTTCTGGCGGCTCCTCCTCAGTGGTTTGCTCCTTCTGCGTGTACTCGCCGGTTCGCTGGTTGCCATTCTTGAACACCCACACGCCCTTGCCAAATGGCTTGTTGTACCTGAACTTTCCGCAGTAGAAGGTGCCATTCGGGAAGAGCCATTTGCCGCTGACCATCTTGCCCTCCTGCCACTCACCAATCAGCTGGGTATTATCTTTGGCAAAGGCGTAGGTGCCATTGCCATGCTTCTTCCCTTCTCGCCACTGACCTGCATAGACATCTCCGTTGATGTAGCTGAAGGTGCCCTCGGCTGGGCCCACAGCATTGGCTTTGCATCCCCGCTGGCCAGCTGTGAAGTTGCCGAGGTACGTGCCTCCACGTGGAGGGGCATTCTCATCTGGAGGCTCATCATCCTCTTCGATCTTGCTCCCGTAGCTCATCTTGCCGAAGCCGTGCTTCCTGTTCTCCTCATACTTCCCTTCATAGGTGTCCCCAAATTTCTTGAAGACGTAGACGCCCCTTCCCGCGCGCAGGCCCTCCACAAAGGTGCCCTCATAGCTGTCCCCAGTGAGGTACAAGGCTTTGCCCTGGCCCGTAAACTTCTGGGAGCCCTCCTCCCTGGGCTGCTCGCACCCCTTCACATAGAGCTCGTACTTGGGCTCAGTCTCATCGTCGCCCATGCGGCCCACTTCGGAAGCAGAAGAGACCGCAAGGAAGTTTCAGAACAGACCTAGACCTTTGGTCCTGATCAGTCCGTTTGTGCTTTCGAGCTCATCGCAAACAGGTGAGATGTTGAATACATGGAATCCTAAGAGGCAAACAAACAGGCTATCTTCGGTAAGTTCAAACGCAGCAGATCGGTAAGGCCATGAAAGTTGTGGCAGAGTTGAGCAGGTCTCAAAAAATAACAAACAAAATGGAGACCCTTCTTCTGCGAGACGGTCAAACACCTGTACCTCGTTTTTGGCATGCGACTCGCCTCGCGCTATGTCTGACTGGCCGGCGGCCAGCGGCTGGCGGCCGGAGGCGGGCGGCGAGCTCGGGAATCTGTGGGAATCATTTTTGCGTGAGGCGGTGGCTACGAAACCCTCGCACCACTTGGAGACCTGGGTAAAGTCAAAGCGAAGTTGAGATCGGCATCCTTGGGTACTGTGGACGGACCGAAGAAACCCACCCAAAATTTGACGATGCCCCGGAAAAATGCGACCCATAAAGCCATGCATTGCTTCCCCTCACAATGGTTTCCCATCAGCCCGCTGCTCGATCCCATCCCCAGGCCTGCGAAACTGGGTGGTGGTAGTAGCGGGTGCTCTCCGAGAACACGGGGAAGGGCCGATCCGACGCGTGGTCGAAGAAAAGCATGAGGTTGTCCTCAGGCAAATGGCATCTGCGTCAGAGAGAAACCGGACATCCGGCAAGTGGTGGTTCTTTGGGTTCCCTTTAAGCCTTGTGCTTTTGTTGAGGCTACCCTTGAGGTTGATCTTTGGGAGTCCCATATTTTGACACATACATGAGCGAAGGTTGGTAAATCCTTGCAGCCTCAAGCTGATATATCTCAAAGCTGACAGGCAGGTTGAGCATGTGGAGCTACAAGGCCGGAAATGAGCCCAAGAACTTTCATCTGTCGCGCATGTCTGTGACAGAAGCAAGCCCTCATGGTTCACATTGTAGATTTGACTCGGGCTTTGAAGTGGTGCAAGGCCCCATCATTTCCGAGCCATAATGGTTTCCATCGGGGATTCTGGATTGCCCCTGTAGGCAATCAAAGACAACGCCAATCAACATATCACAGCCAAACTTGATCAGTCTCCTCAATCAATAAATCCCACGTCTTGATCTGATTATGGACATTGGCAAAATCAAATTGCTTCTTGCTTTGGAGCATTCGATGTTGATACATCAGGACTTTGCTCATCCTGATGCACACATCCAGCAGCTGCCCGCTGACATGTCAACCGCATACATCTTGTGTCGAAACTATTGCAAAGGGCACTCAATCTGAAACTAGATAGCCATCTGGATGGCATCCCCGATTCTGACACACCAAAGTGCAAACTGCTGCGCTGTGCGCCCAGCTGAAATGCAGCCGAGCAGCTCGGTTCATCATCGTGGCGATATCTTTGACCACGGTCATCCACAAGGGCAGCAAGTCCTCGTTTTGCCCTTAGCTCACGACAATGACCATTGCCAGCGATGCCCCCCTTCTTTGGGTGCGTTCTCATTTTGCAGAATGATAGCCACCCTGACCGGAAATGTGTGATACTCCCATACATTATTTCTGCACTGCGCCTGCCAGCAAACTTTGTGGATGCATGTGAAAGCACCGGCATGTTGCTGATGCTTACTGCACAATTGCTCGCCCAACCAACCAACATGTTTCAATCCTAGCAAGTAATTCCCCAGCACACCATCAGGGTGCTTGTGCGCTTTAGCAACAGCACGGGAGCAACACATGTCAAGTGAAACTCACGCTCTGGTAGATGGGGGTGGGGGGATCATATGACCGTTTCCGCTTGCGCGCGCATTGGATGTTACATTGAAGATGGGGTGGGGGGGTGAGGGGGAGCGTGTTAACGTTCATTCCACCTGGGGACCCCGGCATGCTAGGTTGAAGATGGGGTGGGGGTGGTGCAAATCATGTTCACGTTGACTTGAGCTCGTTTTTAGCTTGACTTGAGCAAAGGGTGGCTGAATGTAGTCTCTGCCGCATCTTCCACACTATGGGCTACCTACACGCTGTTTGCAACAGGTCACCAGTGGCAAACAAACGTGCAAATGTGCAACGCGGGTTGTTCAGAAAGCAGTGAAGCTCACGAACAAGCTTCTTTTCCTCGCAGAGCTGTGCAAGAAGGGAAAGAATGTGAGCTGAATTAGTTCGGGCAGACAGTTACAAGGAATAGAACGCAACTTGCCTTGAGGTTTCACGGGAATAGGCGTATCGGCCACAGGCGCCTCGTGGCGTGGTGGCCTAGTTCATGTCTTGAAGGGCAATAGTTTCAGTTTTGCGTGCCTTGAGCACCCCAAATGCTCTGTGCTCCATCAGAAATACGGTGCACAAAACAAACAATAATGGAACAAACAACTTGCTTCGCCAACAGTGACCTTCTGGTTTGGGGGAAAAGTTAATGTCCTAAACAGCCCCATTTCTTTGAAGAAGAAGATTGAAATGACGAAGCTGCAGCTGAAGAGCTAAAGTCGTACTCAGACGTCACCACTTTGTTCCTCAAATCCAGACATGTGCATGGAATAACGGCACTGCATTCAAGCCAGGCTTTCCGCTAAGAAACAAACTGTCACACGCACGCATGTTCCAATGCCAGCCAGGAATTCATTGCAAAACGAATGCTGAATGACATGTTGAAAGGATGAAAATTGCATTACGGCTTGAACCCTGTTGCAGGCTGCGATCGATGCAAACCCTTCGGATCAAATGGAAAAGGGTCCTCAGGTTTTGATCCGTTTCTGAGCCCAATTTAGGGGGCGCCCCGTGGCATGCGCCGCCATGTAAGCCCTGTGGCGCAATGCAGGTCACCGGGGGGGTGAAGACTGCAGAGGCGAACATGGTGGACGTTCGAGTATGAGCGCGGCCTCAAGCTTGAAGCTGGCTGCAGCTGCTTTGGAGGAGAGAATGTCTCAGAGAGCTCATCTCGACGATCCTCGTCGCGGCCCGAAAGGCCTTGAAGTAGCTTGGTGATGGCGAAGGTGGGCTGGAGTTCATCTTCCGGGTGAGAATGATCAGGAGCGAGGACTGGAAATCGAGCCGTGGGAGGGTGATGAGCGAGGGCGAGGCTTTCAATGGATCGAGTCGGGGGATGAGAAAGGCGTCAAGTGGATGGCCTCGTGACTGACCACATGCAAGAGGAGGATGTGGCTCGGAGTGGCTTGGAGTGGAGAATCGCCCTTGGAAGAGGCGATCGAGGGCGCGAAGCAGGCCTTTCTGGGGGTGCTGGAGCCGCAGGGCACGGAGGACTGGCTGGTGACTACCCGGTGACCCTCTTGGCGCGTTCGGCAAGGAGGCGGGGGGGTGCATCACGGCTTGAACCCTGTCTCAAGATGCGCAAATCCTTTTATGGATCAAATGGAAAACCGGCCCCAGGTTGTGCAAAAACGACAAAAATACTGGCCCCGAAAAAATCATGAGTGGCTTCGTGTTGGTGTGCAGTTGAAACCAACGGCAGGTCAAGAACAGCCCAGGCGGTATGGTGCGAACCCTTCCGGAACCGCCCATCCCATTCGACGAACCCTCTTAGGTCGCCGCAGGTACCAGCCGGCCGTGAGGTTGCAGAAGAGGGTGGACTCCGCCGGAGTGGCCGCCAGAAGGATGTGGATGGTCTGCAGCACCTGCGCCTTGCCAAGACGACATAAGTTTAAAGGGAAACCCAGAGGAAAACCGAGGCCCAGAAGCCCATTTGGGGGATTCCCCCAGAATAACCAAGGGTTTTCCCATGGGACGTTGTTTTTTTGTGGGCAACTTGGATTTGGAGACGGGTATCATTGTCAACATCTTCTTTTGCACGGCCACATCCCTTGTTGCCGTGTCAGCTTTGCCAAATGTGCGCTTATTTGTCTGGGCTCGGTACCCTTCTTGACTTTGAATCTTGAGGCTTCCCCCTGTTTAGAGAGAAATCTGCGTCACGTTCCATACTGTGGATGTACGAAATCATGCACCGCCTAAAATGAGGATTCCCTGCAGATACCAATGAACCATGGTTTCCCATTGCTTCCAAATGGTGCGGGATTCGTCCATCCGCGGTACGGGTGTGCCTTTCTTTTGAGAGCACCCTTTTTAGTTGTTGAGCTTGGAGACTGAGCGGATTGCCAAGACAAGGACAATTCTAAGCCTTTGCCAAGCCAAGCCTGTGAGGATCCGGAGGGGTTTGGATATGGCTCTTGGTCACCGAATTCGAGTTTTGGATTTATCAGAATCGAGTGTCAGGCAAACCGATGACAGATCTCCAAACTTGGCAAATCAAGTTTCATTCCAGGGCGGCCAAGCCACATTTCATCTTCGAGACGGGGGCTAAGCTTAGCCACTCCCATAAGCTCGTTTTCTGTGTGATGCGGCCTTTTGTGCCAAAGATTCCTGCCAGGTTTCTCCTTTCCCCATTCCAATCCATGTGTTAAGGCCAAGCAAATCCACGTCGAGATCCGTGTCAAAGCCGCCTGCAGCTGGGGGTTCTTCGTCAGCAGCAGCTCCCGCAACCGGTCCCGCACCCGGCGGTCTACGAAAGGCTGCGCAAACTGCTCCCCCAATCGGGGCTGGCAATACCTCAGCTCGGAAGCGGTGAGAACCCCAGAACTCGCAAAACCAAGCGCTTTGTGTGAAGTGGGTTTTAGGTTCCCATCAAGGCAGTGGGAAATGAGGCGATTCCTGTCTGGGATGCCAAAGGATTTACATCCCCGTGACTACCCTGTTGCCAAGAAGATTTCTTGGTATCATCTTGCGCAAAACAATGGAGCGGTGAGAAGAGAAGGCAAGGGGGAAGGCCAGCGACGGCGGGGAGAAATGAGGCGGCCAGTGACGTCGGATGGGTTAGGCTCGGGAAAAATCCCCATGCGAAAGGCCAAAAAGAGTCAGGATCAGGAAAAAAAACAAAACATGATCTTGGTAACAGCTCTGGCTGCAAAACGTGCAGTGTTAACCTGGCATTGTCCCTGTTGAGACAATGACAAACGAGCATTCCCCTTGCAAGCAAAGAGCGTGCGGTGCGTTCCCTGGTAATTTGTAGTAACTCTCAGCAAAAGGCGTGGTCATGGCCCCTGCAATGGGCAGCCTCACAATGGTTCCAGACGACAGGACGAAAGCTCAATGACAACAGCTCTTGTGATGATGTCACATCGGTGAGTCTTTTTGGGGAACCCTCTTGTTGATAGATGTTGAAGGCAACTCGAAACCCCACATGAGGGTGTCAACACATAGATTCCAAAACCCAATCTTCTGCTTCCCCAGCTCACACCTAGCAAGCTAGGGCGATGCAACACAAGGCATGGCCGAGGTCCAACGCCATATCTGCTGACTCTTCACCCATGGAACCCCTCACGCCCGCCAGCTCTCTGAATCCGAGCTGCGCCCACGCCAGTCTCTCGCCGATGCTCTGGGTGAGTTGGATCTGAGCTAGGTGTCAAAGTGGGGGGGGAACCCCCCTAAAAAAATTGTAGTTGTCCTTTTGGGGAAAAAAAGGGGTACCGCTCAACAAGAAACAAGCCCGAAGTGGCCATGAAACTTAGGCCTTTTGGTGGCACTGTCAGCACAGTCTGCTCAGGATGATGGGGTGCTGGGAGCCCAGAGGGGCTGTTCGGAGTCCCATCATTCTTCAAAACATGGCTCAACACCATCCGAACTTGTAGTAAGTTTGTGTTGACACAGGACACATCGTCCAACTTCAAACACGTGAAACACGTGTCTCTCTGCCAAGCGGTCAATCTGTATGCACTGCCCAGCGGCTGCTTCCAGTGTGAAGAAGTCCTCCCGACGACGTAGCAGCTCCTCTTGGGTTCAGGCAGCTTTGGCTTGCGTTTAAGGCCATGCGGAATTTAGGGCTATAGTCCGGTCTCAAGGCCTTCCTCAACGCAGAATGGTTGCTCAAACTCGTTGAAGTTAGCACAACTTGATATTCGCTCCCGGCCTTCAGACCTTGCGGGTTGCGCAGGTGTCAACTCAAAGATGCACCATGTGTACTGCCAAAGTTCACTTGTGGGGCCCTAACAAAAGCGTCTTTGAATGGAGGAAACACAAGATCGGTGATGTCCATTTCGCTGTTCTTTAACACCGCCCGGAACATTGCCCTCAAAAAAAAGCACACTCAAATACCCGTCTCTCCTGGCACAAAATGTCCAGGCGCACGCACATGTCGTCCAAGTCCTTGATCGAGTACTCCAT